TGTCTGTGTGTGCGTCTGTCTGTGTGTGCGTCTGTCTGTGTGTGCGTCTGTCTGTGTGTGCGTCTGTCTGTGTGTGCGTCTGTCTGTGTGTGCGTCTGTCTGTGTGTGCGTCTGTCTGTGTGTGCGTCTGTCTGTGTGTGCGTCTGTCTGTGTGTGCGTCTGTCTGTGTGTGCGTCTGTCTGTGTGTGCGTCTGTCTGTGTGTGCGTCTGTCTGTGTGTGCGTCTGTCTGTGTGTGCGTCTGTCTGTGTGTGCGTCTGTCTGTGTGTGCGTCTGTCTGTGTGTGCGTCTGTCTGTGTGTGCGTCTGTCTGTGTGTGCGTCTGTCTGTGTGTGCGTCTGTCTGTGTGTGCGTGTGTCTCTGTGTGTCTGTGTCTCTGTGTCTGTCTGTCTGTGTCTGTGTGTCTGTGTCTGTGTGTCTGTCTGTGTGTCTGTCTGTGTGTCTGTCTGTGTGTCTGTCTGTGTGTGTGTTTCTGTGTGTGTGTCTGTCTGTGTGTGTGTGTGTCTGTCTGTGTGTGTGTCTGTGTCTGTCTGTGTGTGTCTGTGTCTGTCTGTGTGTCTCTGTGTGTCTGTCTGTGTGTCTCTGTGTGTCTCTGTGTGTCTGTGTCTGTGTCTGTCTGTGTGTCTCTGTGTGTCTGTGTGTGTCTGTCTGTCTGTGTCTGTCTGTCTGTGTCTGTGTTGTGTGTGTGTGTGTATACTGTATATATGTGACCCTGGAGCACAAAACCAGTCATAAGGGTCAATTTTTCGAAATTGAGATTTATGCATCATCTGAAAGCTGAATAAATAGCTTTCCATTGATGTATGGTTTGTTAGGATCGGACAATATTTGAAAATCTGGAATCTGAGGGTGCAAAAAAATCTAAATATTGAGAAAATCATCTTTAAAGTTGTCCAAATGAAGTTCTTAGCAATGCATATTACTAATCAAACATTAAGTTTTGATATATTTACGGTAGGACATTTACAAAATATCTTCATGGAACATGATCTTTACTTAATATCCTAATGATTTTTGGCGTAAAAGAGAATTGTGTAATTGTGACCCATACAATGTATTGTTGGCTGTGCTGCTTGGGACTGGTATGCCGTTGGGCTGCTGGTTAATATATAATGCTATAACCTCCAGCTCAGTGGCGTGTCTTCAGTAATCATCACTGGGCTGCTTGTCAGACATCCACATCAAGTATTGCACCTTTAAATGAATTAATTAGCAGCCCAATGGGATACGGTTTTAGTTTTCCAGCTGTTGCAAGTACTATCTTTAACGATGTGTAACGGAAACGCTCCAGATGCAAACACAGATAAATAATGGTTGCTGTTGTTTAATAGTCTTTTTGTTTGTTGGTAAAAATCATAGAAGTTTTAAGTTAACAAAGCTCAGTGTCATAAAGAACGACGAGTCTGATCTAATGATAATTTTTTTAAATTTCAGGATTGGAGAGAATGAAACTCTAGCCACTTTAGATAGCTTGTGTTTGATCGCGTGTGCCATGTTCAGCGCAGTTAAAGAAAGCACACGGAGAGAAAGAGGTTTGTGTGCACTGCACAGTTCAGACACAGACAGGTCTTCTGATGCGCTGTGTGTTGTGCTGCAGCTTGCAGATGTCTGAGGACGTCTATGAGAAGTTCCTGGCTCCAGAAGAGCCGTGTCCGCTGCTGTCTCGGAGAGGGAACCTCAGTGAAGATGCTACGCTGGACGTCAGTGACTTCGGCTGTCAGCTGTCCTCGTGTCACCGCACAGACCCGCTCCACCGCTTCCACAGCAGCAGGTCAGTGAGCCACGCTCTGGCACAGTCCGTCACAAGCAGCTAATGTGCAAAAACCTTTACGTTCTCTATTAAAAGACCATCAGAATGATGCATGATTTGTTGGAATCGGATGAAAATGACTGAGCTACACCTGTCTGAAGTAAATTTAGAGAAAAACTGATTTAAGGTTCCAAAGCAAAATCACAGATGCAAAAACCAAACATGTTAGAAAGAAACAAGTGTGTTACCTACTTTTTTCATTTTACCTCCAATCATAAGCATTCAAGTAAGAAAAACAAATAGTAAAATGTAAAAATAACTTAAGTGTGTTCATTAAAAATAAATAGATTATTAAAACTACAAAAGCAGTTCAGTCAAGCAGCGAGAGATTCCCTCTTTTCTTTTATTGTTAGATTAACATTAATGAGACAGACGGACTGTATTAAGAGGATCTAATATGTTACACATCTGATGTTTTCCCCAAACGTTCACTTAACATATAACAGATTATGTTTGCATAAATCCTTAAATATGTTTAGCCTGCTGTAAGTCTGTGTGTATCAGGAGCGAGTGCTTAATGTGTGCGCTTCGGATGACAGTCAGTGTGGGGAGCAAGTGGAGAAAAGGTACTCCTCCCCAAAAACGTCATCATAAAGATACTTTTAGATGTTTAATTTCTATTTGGAGCTCTGGGATCGCTAGACGAGGGCTTTCTGAAAATCTCAGATTCGACCCAAATCGATATTTCTCGTTTTTTTTTGCTCAAAATGACCCCGTGCGCACTCACACTTGGTCAGTGATCTCTGTGTGTGTGTGTGTGTGTGTGTGTGTGTGTGTGTGATGTTTGCATGAATCCTTAAATATGTTTAGCCTGCTGTAAGTCTGTGTGTATCAGGAGCGAGTGCTTAATGTGTGCGCTTCGGATGACAGTCAGTGTGGGGAGCAAGTGGAGAAAAGGTACTCCTCCCCAAAAACGTCATCATAAAGATACTTTTAGATGTTTAATTTCTATTTGGAGCTCTGGGATCGCTAGACGAGGGCTTTCTGAAAATCTCAGATTCGACCCAAATCGATATTTCTCGTTTTTTTTTGCTCAAAATGACCCCGTGCGCACTCACACTCGTTCTGTTCTGTTGGTCAGTGATCTGTGTGTGTGTGTGTGCAGGTGGCACCTGACCTCCTGCGGCACCAGCGTGGCCAGCTCGGACTGCAGCGAGGAGCTCTTCTCCTCCGTGTCTGTGTGTGATCAGGACGACTGCTACTCGCTGCTGGACGAGCAGGAGCTGGCCTCCTTTGAGCTGTTCCCCGAGGGCAGCGTGTGCAGCGACGTGTCCTCCTCCATCAGCACTTACTGGGACTGGTCCGACAGCGAGTTCGAGTGGCAGGTGAGTCGTTTCTGCGCTCGCTGAGCTACAGCTGTGTGATGGACTGATGATAAATCATGACCAAACTCCCCACGGTTAGCATCACCGTTTCATATTTTAATGATCACTAAAACCGTATTCAAACAACTGAGGATAAATGAATACAGTCCAGCATACAGCAGGGTTTTACAGGTGCACACAGCAGCAGAGTAGTTTGGATTTGTGTGAAAACAGTGGAAAAGCTGGGAGGGTTTAAAGAGTGCTGAGGGAATTATACAAATGAATATATGAATGAATTAACTATATGAATGCACCTCTGAAGATTCATTTTGTTTTCATCTTCGCTCCATGTAACAGCTAATAAACTAGTGTTGTTTACGGTAAACCGCTGTAATGCTGCTGCTCCATCAGCGCCCCCTGCTGTCAGAGAGTGGAGCTACAGAGACTCATTCACATTCAGTCTGTGTGCAGCTTCTGTCCGGACATAAAACAGACCGGATTTACAAGCTCTGCTGTCATTTATGTGGATTCTACACATTTAAACAATTCAGATAAGCTATCCAGAATTATTTATGGGGCAGATAAAATACATATAATCATTTATTAATCAAACATCATTTTGACATATATTTTCTTTGTTTAAAGGCTGAAATGTGAAGTTTGCCTTTTTATGAAACTTTTTCAAAGCTTTATTTGAACATTTACATATATTTCAACATGCTATTAAACTGCTGTCATTCAAGTTGTCATTTAAAATCTGAACATCATTGGTAATGTTATTGTTTTAGTGATTATGCAAACAAA